TACCTTTGTAAACTTTTGCTTTGACAAACAAAATTGCGGCCAACATGAAATTTGGGTGTTTCTTAACTTGTTCTTTGATCACATCAACAAATGGGCCCCACAATGTGCACTTTATAGTCCGTTGTCTGTCACATTAAATATGTATCAATATATAATACACTCCTTGATGGATGTGATCAAAGCTAAAAAAATTCGAAAAACATACCCAGGGTCTTCTAGGACAATTTCACACAACTTTTGGCATTCACCATTGATGCTACCTATGAGATCTTTAGAGACAGTTTGTAAGAGCTTAGATTCTTCTGTGATATATCTAAGATATTATATCATATAATATATCAAATGTTATACCAAATATTCTAGTTTGGGTATATCATAATCTAAAATATATAATACCAAAAATTATAAGTTGTAAGAATTTAGATAGTGAATTCTTATATTATTCATTACCAAATAATTCGGTATGGTCAACATCGTTTGCATATGCAAGCTGGACAAATGGCCTAAAGTTGAACAGGAAAGAAGGAAAGTTTCCCTCATCGAAGTCCACTGTCGTGGTCTTGTGGTTGAAGAGAACCTTGTACGCTAGTGTCTTTATCTTGTACTTCATGTCATTAGGTGCCACAATGAAGTTCCTAACACTATACAATTGTCCTCCCTTGAGACTCTCTTTAAAATGCATAACTCTCTCACGACGTATTATGGCATGCACTTTGTCCCCCTATAAAAAAAAGTAAGGTTAGGTTGAAGATGGCACAAAAGATTTAATCAAATAATAGGGTTCTTCTATAAAATTGTACCTCAGAATCATGGAAAACACACTCCAAAGTATTCGTGATACTTTTGTTACTGAAAGATGGAGTAGTGTATGCTCGAATCAGCCTCAATCGTAAAGCCCAGTTTGTCCTGGACTTGTTAATCTCCCGCACTTTGTCATAAAGCATGTTGCTAACTCTACACAGAAATTCGTTTCTCTCTGCAATAGTTGGCCAAAGTTAAATTAATCCTTTGTTGAATCAATAATTTATAGGCATATCACTTGCAGTTATTCAATATGTGTTAGTGGACGTGTGCAGGGAGTTTCAAATACGTGGAGAAAACTGCTATGCATATTCCAGGGGTGCCATATGTATAGTTTGTACCTACTACGTGTGTTATTATTATAATATTAATTTTAGTATTAAAGTGGTATTTATATATGTGAACATTTATGAGTTGTGCGGTTGTGCCGACCTAAATTTTAGGTGGTGGTGTGTTTTTCTTGCAATAATTAGTTTCAAAATTTTAAAATGTTATATTCATTATTATGCCTTGTGTCAATTTATTATGTGATCAGTTAGTAATCAACAAACGACACAATGGAATCAGGCGGGAACAATTTATCCCAGCCGATTCCATTGTTAAATATATAAAGATTCTATTATCTACTTGTATTTACATATATTATATCCACTTATGTACTTATTATCCACTTATATTTACATATATTATACGGAGTATATATTTGTATCAGTAATATACTTATATCTACTTATATTTAAATATATTTTATCTACTTATATAATTATTATCTACTTATATTTACATATGTTATATTTACTCATATATTAAGTATATAAATTGAAGTAATGAATATAAGTATAATCCTCGTGTTATAGTAGTATACTTATATATATTATATCAGTTCTTTAACGTGCGGTGTGCGTTCGTGGTAATGCCCATGATCATTGTAGGGATATTAATTCCTCTGTTAATCGTCGCGTTATTGTATTCACGACGTGTCTTAAAACTCAAATAGGCTCTTCTATAAGACTAAAAAAACCAACCCTATTCATGTATTGGCAAAAGGATAGAAAGGAGGCTCCAGATTACTCTTACTCTATAGGTGCCTCCCCATCATGCATTGTACTGAGTGAGGTTGCCCGGAATTATGATCTAAACACGGTTCACTTTAACCAATTGTCATATTTTCATTCAGTTTCTCTAACACAGTTCCATGGCCAGATAATTTTACATCTATATCATTAATTAGTTAATAACTTAATATTATGCAAAATTTAGACTTAATAATTAACAATTCTATTTAATTATGTACTTAAGAACGTATCGTTAAGGACCCTTATGTTGAAGTGTTGAACCCCCAGGTTAAAATGTAAGTTCAATTTTTAACATTCTAAAACTTTAAACTACCTTTTGCTTTATCTTTTTTTAGTGACTTTTAATATTACTCATGGTTTGCCTTGTTTTCATTCACTTCTTTAGGATCTCGATCATATCAAGTCATCCCTATTTAAAACTCAATAGTATGCATTTGTATATGGTAGACTCTAACATAAAATGAAAACTCGACATAGTTGTACCAAAATCATTGTTCACTCGGTTATCGAAACACATGAAGACTTCATCAACATCTAAAAATAATGCATATTGAAATAAATAAATAAATAAATAAATAAATAAATAAATAAATAAATAAATAAATAAATAAATAAATAAATAAATAAATAAATAAATAAATAAATAAATAAATAAATAAATAAATAAATAAATAAATAAATAAATAAATACATAAATAAATAAATAAATAAATAAATAAATAAATAAATAAATAAATACAAACTTAAATTAAACCACAAATCAAAGTAGATATAATAAATCAATACAAACACAAAGTAAACAAGAATGAGAAGCACATTAATAAAACAAACATAAATATAAGTTAATCAAAACTAGGAGTAATTTTTTGGCTTAATATTTTACACGTGAGTAATTAATTCTCTAGATTCTTTATAATATAATAAAGCAACCCCCTAGAGACCTCTTTGGAGAAATTGTTGACATGTTGCAACACTCTTTATTGAAAAATTTGACATGTGTCAACACTATAACAATTTCTACTCCCTATTCATATATAGTGTTATCTGAAGTGCACAACAACACAACATAGACACACACATGTATATAGAACATTTATAAATATTTGAAAGGGTAGAAGGAAATCTATTCAACATCTAACTATTTATAAATAGACGGTCACTCTCATTAATTCATTATCTTTACATTGCTTACAACTATTATGTGAAAAATAATATCACACTCAATCAGTCATAATTTTAAGGTTCTCATTTTCTTTTTTGGACGTACCAACTAAAGGTTCGCATTCATATTTTAGAAAATAATTAGCATTCTAAAGTGACAATTTAATCATCAAATATTAAAAGTAACGCATCTATAACATCACAGTTATCATCAATGACTCATTATATTACATTCTTATCAAATTTTTATTTCATAATATACTTGAATTATCTTATTTAATAATTGTCTAAATAACAGTGTCACCTTGCAATGATAATCTTAAGTCGGGACATAGGTAGTGTATATTTAAAAAACACATAAATTAGTTTATGATTCAATAAAAACAAGTGTATAATTTAAAAACATTAAGTATATCACTGATCTTTTTAGTACCATATTAGATGCGGAGAGTCGTGCTATGAATGTTTTATCTCGACCAAAATTTTATGAACTGCACAATCTTTGTAAGTCAGGTTTGGTCTTCTCATGTATGTTTATTTTGATTTGATCTTTTAAATTTAATTCGGGATGAGACTACAACTTGAAGTGAAAATATTCTAATTGGTTTCACAATTTTATCTACAAACTCTACGTGATTATGTTCATAAAAAAATACTAAAAACCCCCTATAAATTAAAATAGTTCTTGCTTCGACACATACTTCAAAGTAATGTTAAAATAATTTTAACATCTACATACTTTTTAGATACATCACAAAGGATTAACATTTTCATACTACGATCTACGGAGTAGAAATGAATTAGGTACTAAATATATCATACATCTTCATCCACTTTTTGAATGATCAATACTCCTAATTATAGATAAATAGTAAGGAGTATCAAAATATCATACTTCTAAGTATGTTGACTTTGAAAACAAAATCAATCCGGTCATTATAACCAACTATTGGAGGTTATTTTAAAAAAAATAAGATAATTCAAAATTTTATAATACTCAATTAAATTTAAAATACATAGAAACAGAAATATAATCAATAGATAGAAATATCAAAATAGATAAATAATTTAAAAACCTTCAAAAAAGATAAACATAAAAAACAAAATACTATGAAAAAAGGAAATGTAAGAAAATATAAAATAAAAAAGATAAACATAAAAAACAAAATACTATGAAAAAAGGAAATGTAAGAAAATATAAAATCAAAGTGTAAAGCTTTTACAAATGTAGAATATACATGTAACTCCAAAGTACAAAAATATAGTTTTTGGCATCCTTAATTTTTTTACTTTTATTTTTTAGTTTTGTTCGAGTTTGAACAAATTTCTTAGTTTTTTATTTAAAAAAATAATCTGCTATGACAAGTCAACAAAACATATTAAATGGCAGAGTTGATATATAGCAACACAACATTACTCAAGCTTCAATGGCAGGATTGATATAAAAGAATCTAAAAGTTACTTGATACTTAAATGATAGCAACAAAACTCATTACTCAAACAATATGAGTAAAAAGAGACTACAAAGGCATTGCTCATTGAGTATTGTGATTCTAAAGGATCAATTTCTTTAAAAGAGATTGAAAGATCTTGATAGATTATATGAGCTCAGACCTCACGTACATAAAAGACTAAATACAAAAGCAACTGGCATCCACGTGCTCCTCCATCGACTAGATGGTCCTCCGTTATATACTCAATAATTACTCTTACAATATTTGTGTGTCCTTAAATTACTCTTACAAAAATATCACATTTTGCACCTAATAATACTCAATAATTGCTGGTTGTAGGTCCTAAGCATTAAAAGTTTCTCTAGAATTAATGGTCAGTTAATTTTTAATATTTAGAAATATTTGGGACGGAGCATTTAATATTTTTAGCGAAATAAGAAAGTTTAAGTATGAAATGAGTTCCAAGTAAAATGCGTGACATTTGTTGATCAGCGCAACATGGACACGTTACACTTGGAACCATGCAACTACCAGATGCGGCCATTTTGAATTTTAGCGCGAGCGCGCCCTATAAAAGCCCTTCCATTGAGCTTTAAACTTCTGACAAGGCTCTCCGTTTTCGAACTTGCAAATCCAAAACGTAACAGTGATTTGAACAGAGTGAACGAGCTCGAGCACAGATAACTGACAATGGGGAAACGAATTCGGAAAATGAGATCGATCCGTTGCTGCGTCTCTCCTCGATTGAAGTTTCTTACTCCTCACTCCATCTTCTCCTGGTTTTTTCTCTTTCTATCCCCCCCACTGCGTCTGTACATTTCTGAAACGTATCTGCATTTTAATACATAGAGGTTTTTCTTACATACGAATGCATGTGCGAAATGAATGAACAGCTTAGAGTGCTATTGAAAATCGAAGTGAAGTCTGGTTTATTCGATGAGAATGTTTCTGTCTGTGGCTTGTGTGAGTTTGAATTGAACTGGCGAATTATGCAATTTAGCTCAATTACTTTGAACTGTTAACGGAATAACGGAGTATAACCTATTGTATTCGACTAGTGTGCTGAGAATTGTTGTGCACTAATCTCTTTTGAGCTTGAGCTCCTATTTTTTTTACAAGCTCTGTTATGATTTGTTCAAATGCTGATAAGAAATGTGATACCACTGATGTTCCTGTACAATTGCGAAGCTTAATTTACCTCAGTGGTGATGCATTACAAATTTGCAGTTCTCATATTATCTGTGTTTCTTAGATTCCTCGGCGAATTAATTCTGAAAGTGTAGTATGCTATAAACAATTTGCTTGAGATTCAGCTACCAATACTGACATTTCATTAAGCTACAGAAACTGCATCTGGTATACGGTTGGTCGTTCTGGAGACTATATGTTTCTCATTTCTCTGCTATCATTCAATGCTGAAGGTATGAAGAGGACACGTGGACAGAGATTGCAAAGTATTTGGATGGGAAGTCGCTGATAATGCTTGCAGCAACTTGTAAGTGGTTCCAACATGTCATTATGAGTGAGAGTGTCTGGAAGCACGCTTCTTTGCGTGACCTTGAGGTTTCTGATCCTGGAAAAGTGGGTTGCAAATGGATTAAGCTATACGCTACAGCCTTCGGTAACTAACTACTTTCACTTGATACTTCCTAATAATCTATGCACTGACAATGAAATCATTTATTTTTCAATCTAATGAATTGCTCAATTGTTGGTAGATGGCAGTCATTCTTACATGTTCCGCCAGGCAGATAAGCACATTGGTGAATCCCCCTAATTAATATTCTTATCATCTTGACTCAATTAAACTTTTATTCACATAGAACAGAATCCTTTTCCCGTCATCAGGGCAGTATGATTCATCTCACTGATTTCTCTCTAAATATATGTACAACATGGCAGACTGGATGCGCATTGGAGCTTTTGTTTTCGATTCAAAAGCTGCACTTCTCACAGAAAATCTAATGACTCCTTTAAGAATCCCAAGAGAAGAAACAACAGAAGAAATGGTGGAGCTGAATGGCAGATGCGTGGTAAGCCCTATCAGGAGTGGCATTTGGCTTGCTGGTAAGGTCACTTCCACATAAAAAGTACTACTTGACTAATTTTTCAATATACGTAGTATATTGAGTGGCATCTAGATTATAGATATTGATGTATACATATGTACATTGTATTTTTCCTTGGGGGGCCTTGGCCCCTTCAGCCCTCTCTGTCTTCAGTTTAGATAAAGCAAAAATAGATTGGTATATGACTCATAACAAGAGATACACTCTTAATTAGCATAGTAAAGCCCATAATAATACATGATGTAGGCTGAAGTAGTAATACATAGTTCAGACAAATAATTAGGTGATTTTAATGATAAGAAATGTAGGTAGACTTAAAACAAAACAAAAATATCACAGATGGCTCCATACTTCTTCCTACGGTCACAGAAGATACATGCGTGCACAAATAGTGAATCTGGCCAATCGAAGAAATTAAATAAAAGGAGCTGACAGGAAACCACTCTGGTAGTAAGTGCTATAGAATTTTGACGGTAAACTGGACTAAGATTTTCTAACACCGTAACTATATACGGAGTGAGTATATATAAGGAGATATGTCTGCGAGACCGTGATGCACACTTATCATTATCACCAGTGGATTTCATCTGTGCTTGCTCTTGCAGATTTACAACTTGTTCGATGCCCGGTCTGTGATCTCAATACGTGTGATGGTAAGCTAACTAAGTCTGTCAAGGTGTTTTCATTGTCTGAAATCATATACATATCTGTCCCCTATGTTTTTTAACTATACAATGGAAGCTAAGAGTATAATAAATATTGGATATGTTCATACATTTTATATGGATGCAGGAACAATGCAGACATTAGATGCAAGACACATTGAGCTGTTCCTGAGTGAGGGGTACCAGGATGGAAGCTGGAATTATGAGTTGCTGGGGACCCATGAGGTGAAGAAGAGAGCAGATGGAGCAACTGCTGCAATTTTTGATATCAGGCATCTCAAAGATTGCACCACCCAAAGTCAGTTTTACTGAACTCATTTATTATTTCACAATTACTATCACTGTCTCACATATATTGAGTTGATCAATGCTCAAAAGTTTAGATTCTGAAATAAATAAAAATAGCATGCTCGATTGCTTTACGTACAGTGGTTCTTGATTTTGACTCGTGGAAAGGGAAACCAAATGATTGGCAGCCTAAATCTGTTGTTGCCCCTCATGCAGTGGCAGTCAACACCAACTTACAGCCAAATGACGGTAATAGATTCAACTTTTCTGGTTTGTGAAAATATGCAAGGACGTGTGTGCTTTGCTTAAATTTAAAGCATGTTTTTGGGTGGTTAATGTCAATCTGACGACTTCCAGGTCTTCAAGTAAAATACCATGGCATGAAGGCAGGAAGCGATGGTGAAATAGTTTCAATCAGAATATCTCAGCAACTACTTTAGTCACTCCTATGATGATTCTGAATGCCCTGCATATATATATTACACACTCATAATTTTAGTCCAGGCTGGAATAGAGGTTCTTTTAATGTCATCTTTTTTACCAGACAATGTTTTAAACTTGCGCCAACTTAGCATAGCATTTCAGGACGTTCTCAATTACTTAGTCCAATTAGCGACCTAGCTATGGAGACTCCGTATATCATTAATTTTGTCAGCTAAAATAAAAGTACAACCTTTAGCCAGTAATAATTCTGATTTCTTCACACGTAAGGCGTCAGCAGCTACTCTCTTTGGGTGCAAGCGTTAAGGTTTGTCTTCATCCTGACATTGAAATAATAATACTTCGTATAAGGGAAGATCGAATGGCTCTGAACGTAACCCCTTTTGTCTAGCACTTTATCTGATTGGTTTCCTGCCATCACTTTAAGAGGTTCGGATTACAAAAAGACAAAAAGAAATGTCACCACACACTTAACTAAAGTTGAAGTCCAAGCGAGACATAGAGTGACCAACTGAAGGAATTGGGAAAGAGCGAACAAAGCTTATAAACTAAGAAAAGGGGAAATGCTACGCACTTATACCACTCTAACACTGTAACTTGTCAAGGCTGATTACTTAGGGGTAATTGTGTAAGGTGGTGGTTAGCAAGAGTAAATCGCCTAGGATTAGGAAAGTAACCAGAACCAAGCAGCCTCGCCCAAATAGTCCGAAATTTCCCTCCCAAATTCTTCCACCTTAGTTACACAAATACACACCCACTATATTTTTACAGATGGTAAAATTTCTCTAATTACGTAGTAAATTTATCGCTACATACTTTGGTTACATTTTTATGATGGCATTGGTGTACAAAAAATGATGTACGCACACAAAGCTTTAGACTTACTCGTAATTAAACAACTACCCATTTACCCATTTAACACAAATTGTCATCATAAATCAAATAAAAGTAACATATACTACCTCCGTCTCAAAATGAACTTCCCATTTCGGATTACGATCTTGACCGACGATAAAGCAACTTGATCCCTGTTCATACTTAGATTACTTTTAGTAAATAAAATTTACATATTGAGAAACTACATTAAAACCGCTACAAAGGCTGATAAAAAATATAAATTTAATAAAAATTTGATATATAAAACATAAGATTAAGAGTAATTTAAGTTGATCATGTGAATAGTGACTGTGAATTTCATTTTGGGACGGAGGGAGTATTAAGTAAAAATGTGTTGTGATACATTCATACATTAAAAAAGAAGAAGGCGTAATTTTTCTTTTGAAAAGAATAAAATTTGTAAAGGCGTGACATTTTGCAGAACCGCCAACAACCTACAACATTTTTTTTCTTTTAAAAGGATATATTTTTTAAAGGAAATTATTTCAATGCGACTAAAACTCAAGAATGATTCACATATAGACATATAGTGGCAAATCAATTGGAGATCCCGCAGTAGATTAAATATAGTATTAAGGAATATCAGATTGGATTAATTGATTAAACATCTCATTAGAGTGACATCTAAATTAGAGTTTGTAAGAGGATTTGTTGTGCTATCTTTGGATCAAGTCGTACAACAAATACGCATTTATAATTATATTTTGAAGTCAAATTTTCTAAAATTTGTAGAGTACTCTGATCCCTTTGTCCCGATTTTTGTCTCTATCATTCTTTTTATTCATCCCACTAAATTTGTCTCCTTATAATATACTTCACCCGATTATGAAACTTAACCATTTCTTTCTTGGTCAATGATTTTGATCAATGTATTTTTGTGAAAGTTTAAGGATATTTTTATTTGAACTTTGAGAAAATTCCCTAAATAAGAATAAAAATGATTTGAAATTACAAAATATGAGTGACATGTTTTTTTTCCTAAATAAGAGTAATTTCTACCAAGTTTGACATTATCTGAGTTTAAACCTGGTAGTTTCTGTCAAGTTTTTTCCAAACTTGGCAGAAATTACTCTTATTTAGAAAATAAAAACATGAAGGCCTTATTTCGGAATTTCACAACGTTTTTACTCCTATTCAAGGAAATTTCTATTGAACTTATTTAAGTCCAAGAGACCAAGACCAGAAGATATTTGTAAAATACAGAGAGACCAGATGTTTACAAGAACCAGATCAAATTAGTTCAAACCATAAAATTTATGTCCAAGTGAAAACTTCCTAAATACTACCTCTGCCCCCACAATCAAATTCACGGTTTAGCTTTTTGAGTCGAGCTTTTTAATCATGAACCATTAATTATTTAAAATTAAATTACATTATCACTCAAAATTAATTTCATATATTTCATTGAAATATTTATTATTCAAATGTTAATTTATTAAAGATATTATACATATTGTGATATATTTAGAGCCAAATTATTACTTAGAAAACCGTAAAAATCAAACTAGAAATTTAATTGTGTGGCGGGGAAGTATATTATTAGAACGTATACCATATTAACATGTAACGTATGACATCAGTGACACTCCCAAAGACGTTGTGTCGATGTCACTTGTTCGAATCTCATTCGAATTTAAGGATAAAAAAATTAGGAAGATGAGTAAAAAATGGCCCTTGCTCTAAATTGAGTAACATGCCCCACAATTGTGAGCATATCTTATTGAGGAGGTGTGGCGACTTTGGTCAACCCCTTTCCTCTTGGTCTCCAAGAACCCTTTTTGTTCCACTAATTATATCTTGTTGATCCTAGCAGGCTAGCTATCAAACTAAGTTCTTTTTTAAATATTTAATTTTGACAGTGAAAATATATGGCCATTTTGCAAGCAGCAGCGCTGTTTATTTTCTCAACCCGACTATTAGTCCTCACAAGAGCAGCGGGTTGCCAGCCGTCCACGTGCGGCGAAGGCGGGGTGTCCGTACGATTCCCTTTCGGTTTAGAAAACCAGCCGTCTTTCATGAGCTGCGCGTATGATCCTCTGTTCACTCTGCGGTGCAGCAATTCTAGCCGCGGCGGCCACTCCTCATCACCGTCACCGCCGACGCCGGTGGTTTTCAATCTCCCCTCCTCCGGGGACTTCTTCGTCCGCAGCATCAACTACTCCGACCAGCAAATCCAGCTCTACGACCCGCAGAACTGCCTCCCGAGGAGGTTTTTGAATCTCGACCTCTCCTTCTCCCCTTTTGCGCCGCTGCATTACCGCAACTACACTTTCCTCCGGTGCCCTAAACGCGCCGCCGTGAATAAGGCCGCGAACGCTTCCTCCTTCTCCGTCATAGGCTGTCTCGGAAATTCATCCGTCTCCGTGCTGGCGACTTCTTCCGCGAGCGCCGTGAGGGCGTTGAGCGCAGTGTGCGAGACGTTCGCTGCTGATTTGCGGGTCCCGGTTTCGGGGGCCGATGGTGATGATGAGAGCTGGGTTTCTTCATCCTCCGATTTTAGACTGGGATGGAGTTCACCGGATTGCAGGTCGTGTGAGGCGGAGGAGGGCGGCGTTTGTTCATTTGCTCCCTATGCAGATTATACCATCCAATCCATCGGTTGCAATTTCGACAATACCACGGCCGCCATTCTTCCACCGTCTGGTAATCCTTTAACTTTCGATTCGCTTTAGATGATGCGCTAAGAAAATCTCGTTTTGATGATGCATAAAGACGCCTGAGCATTGTTAGGCTAAATGCAGATGAAAAAAATGGACTTTGCACGGGAAAATTCCAAAAAAAAAACCTACATTTTCACTAATTATGGTCAAGTTTGTAAAATACCCCAATACTTAAAGTCTGTTAATATGAAAATAATTATTCTTATTCACAAAGTGAAAACAATTATTCTTATTCCATAAAAGTTGCAACATTAGAATTTTTGCACTAATACGTAAACAATTATTTTATACATAATAAAAATATTATGTATAAAATATTAATAAATTTGTATTAATGTAAATTTCCAATATATTAACTTTTTTAATGTTTACTAATACGTAAATAAATATAATTACAGTCAAAGTTGCGCGTTGACAAACGTGAAGTCAAACTGTTTCAACTTTTATGGAATAGAGGATAGTAATAATTTTATTTTTTAAGTAACTAGTCTTTTTACTCCTATTTAGAATAACTTCTTTTTAATTTAGAATATGAGATACAAAATGCTCGGGGTATGGTCATTGAAAAATAACATGCACCAAAGTCAAACATTGAGGTCAATCATGAAATGCAATTACAGATTTTCCAAGTAAATACTGTACTAACTTAGTCAGACTCAACTGAGTGAATTTTTGTAAAAGGCATTTGAAAAATGTAAAATTTGAATACTAAGATTTATAAGCAACAATTTAATTTATATGCCTACATCAAATAATTTATCTCGTATAGTTGCATGATATTATTTTGATTGATATTACTTGTATTGTTGTTATTTTAATAAAACAGAAAAAATTGTATATATAATACTAGAATACAATTATTTATGGACCCTTATTATTTACAAAATTTTTGAGGTCCGAGGCAATTGTTTCTTTGCCTCAACAGAAGGTTCAGCCTTGTGCCAAGTTCATGTTGGGTGTGAAATTAGAATAATAAAAATTGTGTGATTGATGTGTGTAGATGGAAGAAAATTGAATAGAGCAACAAATTCATTACTTTAAAGGGGAAGTCATAAAGTTTTTTGAAACAAGTTTAGAAAAAAGTTAATAAAATGGTAATGATTGAGGACAAAAGTGGGTTTGGGCTTGTCTTACAATATGGTAATGAATTGTTGTATACGAACAATTCTATGTGTGTAGACATACCAAGTGTGTCAAAAGTGTACACAATGTACATCAAGCATTTCTAATACATTCTAGACACGGACATATGGAAAATGATTGGTTTACACATTTTTGTGTACATCTTTCGTACACTCATCAATCTCACGCACAAAGAATTGTTTGTTCACAGACAACTCTACAGAATTGTCTGTGAATAGACAATTCTATGTGCGTGAGACAGATGAGTGTACAAAAGATGTACACCAAATTCCAAAATGTGTACACCTAGCACAACCCTGGACATATTCCCCGTTCTAGATCATGATCCAGAATACGAAACCAGCCGATCTTGAATCAAAACCAACCTTCGCCAACCGCACATGCACCCCGCAATAGAAAGATAAACATCTAAAAATATTACTACATTTATCCCATAATGTAAGATATATATGAGTTTGGTGTAGGAAAATAAACAATAACGTGATTGTTTTACAAATTTAACCTTCAAAAAGTGAGAAA